GGGACATTATTTGGTGCTACCCCTCCTTAAGGGTGAAACGGGGGGTAACTTTGGAAAGTCAAATGGAATGACCCGATTTTTTTCATAGAGTTTGGTAGAACATAAAAAAATGAATAACTTTTATTTGAAAGTTTTTTCAATTTATCAACAGATGGCGCTGTAATTCAAAATTTAAGAAAAAGGGGTTTCCTTGTAAAATGTATTATTTGAAACGTTTGAAAAACAAAAATTAACATTAAATCAACAATAGTCGGCTCTGAAAACAATTTATAATAAATGTTCGAAATGTCGTCCTTCCATTTCGACACCAAGTGGAGGACCAGCGTCCCTGGTCGGTAAACGTTTGGTGCGGTATACCTTAAGCGAAGGATTAATCGGACCCTTCTTTATTGACGGTGCGTTAAATGGCGAAAAGTAGCGGAATTTTCTAGAAAACGATCTGACGGACCTTTTGGAGGATGTACCACTAGCACGGCTCCAAAACATGTTGTACCAGCAAGATGGTTGTCCTGCACATTATTCGACAATTGCTCGAGAGGTGTTGGATCGGGAGTTCAATGGCCGGTGCACCGCGGTGGATCGGTAGACGTGGTCCAGTAATTTGGCCTGCTCGATCACCTGATCTTACGCCACCAGACTTCTTCCAGTGGGGTTACTTGAAAGAAAAAGTTTACGCTGCAATTCCTACAACTTGGGAGGACATGGTGGAGCGGATCAGGAACGCCTGTGCATCAAACGGGAGGTGAAATGGGGCAAAACAAGGCAAGGCAAGATGTATAAACAGAAAATAACTTAAATACAAAAAACTTAAATTATGTCATAAAAGTAGGTAATAAATTTTACAGACCAAAGTTCTTCCGGACTAAAATGTTAAAAAGTATTTTAATTTAATTTCATATTAATATTTTAAATGTAGGGCAAATTTTTAAATATTTGATAAAAAATTATATAATTATTAGACAAAAAAATCGAATATTTATTTTTAAAGTACCTCTAAAATATTGTTCAGAATCTCAAATAAATGGTCCTTTTAAAATGTAAGCTCTTAATATTACATTTACAGGTCCCTCATCGGGAATTATTATTTCCCATTAAAATAATGTGAGATTTTTTAAAATACTTTAAAATTGTATAACTCGTAAACGGATTAGTAAAACTGAAACAAATTTTGGTAGGGCTCTTTTAAAAGTTATTCAAGGTAAAAGTTGAATTTATAGAAATTTTCAAGATTTTCAAACTTTTTCAGCGAAACAAAATTTATGGTAAAATTTAGTAGAACCCTATTTTAGGAAAATTTTATCTAAAACCATGAGCAAAGAAAGCTGCCTTTTTATTTAAAAAGAAATGGTAAATAATTACATTAATAATTATAGTTAAAGCATGGCATTCCCAAAGGGTTTGGACCACAGGTCTGTGGTTTGGACCCAATTTAGTCAAATATTATATTATATTATTATCATTTAAAAATAGTCTATGTGCCATGCAAAACGACTAAAAAAATATTCTCCATATTATTTTTGTATTTTAAAGATGGATGGATTTTCATTGAATTCTTACAATTTTATTTTTGACACTTAGACCCTTTGGGAATACCAAGTTCAATTATTATAATAATTATAAATTTATGCCGTTTCCATATTTTATTGGATTTTTATACATTGAGTTGGTATTGGGCAGATATTTCATAAAACAAGTAATAAAAACTAAAATGTTGATAATGCAGGATAAGGATAAGGTTTGCATGTCGAGCCGTCAGGCGTCAGACGTAATTCATCCGAGTAAATAATGCACATTATTTCGAGTGTAATACTATGTTTTTTCTACTCAACTAAGTAATTTTTATTGATAACAAAATTTATTATAATCTCACTTTTCTCCTATTTTAAAGATCATTATAGTCGCCCCTCGTATATATAAATAAATCTGACATCTGTCAACCTTACTTTTTTCTAATTTACAACCCGATTGGTTCAAATAACAGTGAATATTAAAATAAGCCAATCACTGATACATATAATGATGAATATAATAATAATATAATATAATTCACTTTGATAGGCCGGGCGGTTATATTGCAATAACCATGGTTACCATTATTTACGCAAAAAAAAACAAAAAATTTCAATAATATGCAATAGAAGTAAAAAAACGTTTTAATAGTGCACAAAATGCCTTTTAGTAAAAATTTAATGGGTTTAATTTAAATAGTAAGAATAAATATTTTAATTTATATTGCCCAGATAACAAAAAATCACATAAAAAGGTAAATACATTAAAGAGTGCAAAAGTTTATAATTATTTTAGTATTAAATGTCTATTTCATTTAAATATATTATTTTATTAATAACAACTTATTAAATAATATAAAGTTTATTTAATAAGTTATATAACATATATTATATTTAAATTATTTCAGAATCAATGTTATTCCTTAAATATTAAATTGCATAAAAGCTTAAAAGTCAAATGAAATGTGCGTAGAAAGAATAAATATTTTAATTTATATTGCCCAGATAACAAAAAATCACATAAAAAGGTAAATACATTAAAGAGTGCAAAAGTTTATAATTATTTTAGTATTAAATGTCTATTTCATTTAAATATATTATTTTATTAATAACAACTTATTAAATAATATAAAGTTTATTTAATAAGTTATATAACATATATTATATTTAAATTATTTCAGAATCAATGTTATTCCTTAAATATTAAATTGCATAAAAGCTTAAAAGTCAAATGAAATGTGCGTAGAAAGAATAAATATTTTAATTTATATTGCCCAGATAACAAAAAATCACATAAAAAGGTAAATACATTAAAGAGTGCAAAAGTTTATAATTATTTTAGTATTAAATGTCTATTTCATTTAAATATATTATTTTATTAATAACAACTTATTAAATAATATAAAGTTTATTTAATAAGTTATATAACATATATTATATTTAAATTATTTCAGAATCAATGTTATTCCTTAAATATTAAATTGCATAAAAGCTTAAAAGTCAAATGAAATGTGCGTAGAAAGAATGGTAAATAGCAGGTAGGTAGAATTATTGAGTTTAAAAATAGATATGTTAATTTTTAAAACCCGAATGCCTCCGAACAATTACAATGGAGCATTCAAATGGACATTACTTCTTTCCGTAACTGTACATAGAACCTTTTTATGCAAAAATTTCATTTTTGAGATAATGGCAGATAAAATCATATTAAACCAAGGAAGCGATATGTAAAATAAAATATTTTATTTATAGACAAAATTTGTTATATTTACCTATTTAATTAATTTTTTTGATATTTTGAGTTTTTAAGTTTACTATAACTTTTTATTAAATGTTTTCAAATATTTGTAGTGTATTTTTTATGCGAGAGGGCGGCCGTTTCAAGTTTGCCCGGAGCGGCCAAAACCTTAGAGACGGCCCTGGTTATAGACAACCCCTTATGTGATTTGTCCTATTTCTAGAGTTATTATTATACAGGGTGTCCGGGAAAAGGAGGTCAATCCGTTAACCATATATTCCTTGAGTTAAAACAATAAGACTTCCATAATACCATTTTTCAATTTAGAGCTTCATGTTCGATATACAGGGCGACAAAGTTTGAAATTTAAAACTGATTTTTTTTAATAATTCGAGTAATTGATAATATATTAAGTTTAAATTCGGTACACTACTTCAACATAAATAGTTAAATTTTTTGAGACCAACAAAACAAAAAAACAATTGTTAAATAATCAAAATAGGGGGGTCCAGTACTCACTGATTCCCCCTATTTTTTAGTACGTGCGCCAATGACTTCCAAACGGTATTTTTTCAGGTAATCATTTATTGTTAAAAAAAAATTGTCTCTTATAAAATTTTGATAAAATGATTTGTTTTAGAGATAATTTGTAAAGTATGGGTCAGTCCATATCAAATCAACCAAAGGTTCTTCCCCCACCATCTCCGATTTTGATCATTTTTGGTAAATTTGTTTACCTCACTAAAAAACTCAAAAATACCAAATATGAATTTTTTTCGATAGGTGGTTTTTGTTTTATTGATTTTTGAAAATCAAAAAATTCCGATAAATTTGGGTCTTGCAAGTACTTACAAAAATAGCGATATCTCGTAAACTATTAAAAGTAGAAAGGTGAGTGATGGCTTATTTTAAAGGCCTATTAGAGAACTTTTTTATGATATATCACATGACCTACATTTTTTCAAAAAAAAATTAAATTTTGAAAATTTGATATGGACTGACCCATACTTTACAAATTATCTCTAAAACAAATCATTTTATCAAAATTTTATAAGAGACAAAACATTTTCAACAATAAATGATTACCTGAAAAAATTCTGTTTGGAAGTCATTGGCGCACGTACTAAAAAATAGGGGGAGTCAGTGAGTACTGGACCCCCCTATTTTGATTATTTGACAATTGTTTTTTGTTTTGTTGGTCTCAAAAAATGTAACTATTTATGTTGAAGTAGTGTACCGAATTTAAACTTAGTATCTTATCAATTACTCGAATTATTAAAAAAAAATCAGTTTTTAATTTCAAACTTTGTCGCCCTGTATATCGAACATGAAGGCCTAAATTGAAAAATGATATTATGAAAGTCCTATTGTTTTAACTCAAGGAATATATGGTTAACGGATTGACCTCCTTTTCCCGGACACCCTGTAGATATTATAATTGATTAGGTATTAATAAGTAGGTAGGTAATTAATTTATGATAGGACAAAAATAAATGTTTTCTCTGATGAGTAGTTTTTTTAGTTATAAGGTGAATTTTAGTTATAAGTGAACTTGTGGTGATCATACAACTGTGTGCATATGAGCTTATGTGATTTCACATGGATATAATGAATATTATCTGGAATAAAAAATAAAAAAGGTATTTACATTCACTTACCTTAAAAAGTATCATAATAGATTAAAGTTTTAATGCAATAAATGACTTTCATATCATAATAAAAAGGATATTTATGGGCAAAGTAAAATAAGCAAATAAAGTACATGAAAAACATTTATTCTAAACTTATTTTGCATGTGCTTGAGCTTTACGCAATTGTGTTAGAATGTTGGAGCATTCTTCTCTCTTCCTTTTGGCGCGAATGTGTGTACCAAGACGTCTCTTCAGGAATTTTAAAGCCCTCTTATCCTTTGAAACCTTAAGCAATTCCATTGCCCTTTTTTCATATGGAGCAAAACCAACCACTTCACGAATCAAATCCCTAACAAATTTGGTGTGTTTAGTTTGGATCCCCTTCAATCTTGCTGGACGAACATTATCAGCTTTAGTTTTGCCACTAGGAATTTTGGTGGTTTTATGGCCTTTTTGTAGGCCAATTGCAATTTCATATCTAGGTGCCATATTCTAAAACAAAAATTTAATAAATTCATTAAAAAAAAATCCAAACATTTTTGTACTTACAAATAAAAATTACATTAAGTTAAAACACAACTTATTTTTGTTTTGTTTCAGAATAAGTTTTGTGGATTAACAGACACCCTTACTTCTATATAAACAACACAGAAACAATGTTTATAAATAGGTACTTTTTCTTGCAATAAGTGTTCAATGGTATTTGCATTTGCACAGCAAAAAACTAATTGTTACCCTATCGATAGAAGTCAAGGGAATTTAGTTAATACCCTAGACCAGGGTTAATACTGTCAATGTCAAATTATTTTAGAGGTTGCTGTTTTTTTAATATATTGAAATATCTCACTAACAAAGCACAATCTGGTAAAAAATTATTCTTTGTTTTATGCTTAGAATACGATTTTACATGTAACATTTTATTTTTATCTTCTAATTACCTTAACAAGCTTACATAATAAAGAAATTATAATAAAAAGCAAATTATTTGTTAGACATCAAAGAAGAGGGGCGTATGCGCCAAAATAAAAACATTTACGGTAGAAGATAAAAACGTTTTAAATTTCCGTTTTTGTAAATATTTAGTAGTATATTCAAACAAGTTACTTAAATAGGCCTAAACAAAAACAATCCTCCTAATTCTCTCATATGCTGCTTAAAAGATACTGCAAATGACATCACTTAGCTGAGGGCTGGTTTATCAATCTCTGGTTAAGTTTCAGTTAGTCTATCTGACAGTTAAATTCCATATCCATCGTTGTGAGAACAATGGTATCCATGGAAATTATCTACCAGATAACTAACTGCAACTTTAACTGGACATTCATAAACCGGCCCTGATTTAAACACAAAAAGTAATTGGCCCCATGGCCAATAACTACCTTATACTGTTAATCAAGCAACATTTGTTGGCTAGCTATATTTTAAAAAATATGAGCATTATTATTATTTGGAATATATTTATTTAAATTTAAACCTTCATTGATTTATTAATCTTCAGATTTAACAATGTATACACTTACGTAATGATATTAAACATCTAAATATCTAATGGTAAGGTCTCTGCTAGTATTTTATTTGGCCAACAATGTGGATAAAATTTTACTGTAAAATGATTAAGGGGATAAGTAAAAAAAAGCAATTTTTCGGTAGCCTTAAAATAAAGTGACCAACTTTCTAAAATAAAAAACATGGACACAACATACCCGTCCTTGCCCTAAACAAAATTTGTTTTATTTATTATTTAAAAAAAAGATGCTAATAAAGTCAATAATAAAAAAATTGTCTCGAAGGTACTCCCAAAAATTCATTTGTAATCTAAGCCCTGACCACTTTTATTAAAAAATAATAGGACAAATCCTAATAATGTGAAGTCATAATTTTTTTTTCAAACGAGGTTTTTTCGTACTTTTTTACACTTAAATGTACTTTGAAAGTTTTAGATTTTTAAATTAATTTTTAACCTGAGCCCCGACCACTTTAAAAAAAAAATTGCTAATAACGTCAATAATAAAAAAATTAGTATAAACCCGGACCAATCCTGCAAAAACCAGGACAAAACCAGTACACAAATAAAACCAGGACCTGTCCTGGGTAAACCAGGACGGTTTGTCACCTTACCTTAAAACGCATTTGCATTAATTTAGGAAATATATTTATGGTTAGCGGGTTTAAGCTTTTGCCAGCATATGATATGCTGCTTTTTTTATTTATTTCCTTATGCCTTTAACCAACAGAACTAAACCTAATTTTTAAAAAATTATTTAACAACTGCTTTTTGCTCAAACTTACCTGGATATTCTCAACCGCGTGTTGTTCTTTGACAGTTAACAACCAAAAGAAATATGTCTGTCGAATTTCCGTCAGCGCAGCCAACCTTTTAACGTTAACATTTGGTAAATGTCAGAGAAAGGTTGAAGCAAAAAATCAAAGGTGTTCTTTGGGTTGAACTATAAGTAGTACTTATTAAGTACACTCCAAAGAATAGGCAGACTTGTTTGCTTTTATGTTAATATATATTTTTCTATAGAAATGAAAATATATTATATATATAATATATTATAATATAATATATTATATAGGTACTATGCTCCACACTTCAAAGTCCCACCACGTGACCACGTACGGAACGCAGTCTTTTGATAATTTGTCATTTAAGGCTTTTCAGGTTATGTATCTGTCAAAGTATAGTCAATGAAAGAAATAATATTTATACTGTTACCGTTTATGTTTAAGCGTTAAAAGTTTATAAATCTTTATAGTATCACAGTAACAATGGTTGGTTTAAGAGTTTAGGAGTATAAATACTGCATTTAATGAAATTCTAAAGTGTATAGTGCCAAATAAGTAAAATTTTTGTGCATTTTGTTTACATAATATGTTAATATATTATATCTGGTTTTATCCATAAAATAGTTTTAACTAAACGGCATTTATTAAAAAAATCTAGCTTCTCTATTATGGAATAAGAATATCTGTATCAAAGGTAGGTTAATATATTATAACAAAAAATATCATCTAATTTTGAAATTTTAAGGTTAGAAAAATCTATTTTGATCAAAATAAATAAGTATTTTGGATTATTTGGAAGAGTGTGTTAATATGGTCATATAAATATAGATATACTTAATAGTTTTTGAATATGGTTCAAATTAAATTAAAGCTTTTATACTCCTTACAACAAAACTTGTGCTTGGGATCCCTACTTTAAGTTAGATTATAAGGAAACAAACAATTATTAGAGATACATGCAATGTAAAAATATTTAATACTCTGGATGTTAAATAAATAAATAAATAACATGTGATTTTTGAAATTTTTACAATGTTTAATATTGCTTTACTCCGGCATAAATATTTTCAACTGTAAAACTTAACTATTTTAAGATTTTTCAAATTAATTAAATATTAAAAGGGGTTTATTTTAAAGAAGGAATCTAAAAACAACACCTTAAAATTATTAAAATTTGCAAATTTCAAATATAAAACCATTAGATACTTAATTTTAAAAAACTGTAAATTCAATAGGTAACCTTCCTAAAGTTCCTTACACTGTCAGCTAATATACCCATAGTGTCAATACAAGTACCTATAAAAGCTTCGACAAAATTTTATCTACATCGAACAATCATTAGGTATAAATAACCTTATAAATTTTAAAATTTAAATAAAACCACAGTATATTCTATCTAATATTTTTACTTGTAGTAGTCTTTCTTATCCAGCTTAAAGTATACCTACATAAAGTTTTGTCAATACAATTACGTATAAAGCTTTAACTGAATTTTATCTTCATCGAAAAATCATTATAACTTTTAAGAATTTCAAAAGTTACATGTTATGGGAGTATTAAATATTTTTACATTGCATGTATCTCTAAAAATTGTTTGTTTCCTTATAATCTAACTTAAAGTAGGGATCCCGAGAGGTATGCACAAGTTTTGTTGTTACGAGTATAAAAGCTTTAATTTAATTTGAACCATATTCAACAATTATTTAGTGTATCTATATTTATATGACCATATTTACACACTCTTCCAAATAATCCAAATTACTTATTTATTTTGATCAAAATAGATTTTTCTAACCTTAAAATTTCAAAATTAGATGATATTTTTTGTTATAATATATTAACCTACCTTTGATACAGATATTCTTATTCCATAATAGAGAAGCTAGATTTTTTTAATAAATGCCGTTTAGCTAAAACTATTTTATGGCTAAAACCAGATATAATATATTAACATAGGTATTATGTAGACCAAATGCACAAAAATTTTACTTATTTGGCACTATACACTTTAGAATTTCATTAAATGCAGTATTTATACTCATAAACTCTTAAACCAACCATTGTTACTGTGATACTATAAAGATTTATAAACTTTTAACGCTTAAACATAAACGGTAACAGTATAAATATTATTTCTTTCATTGACTATACTTTGACAGATACATAACCTGAAAAGCCTTAAATGACAAATTATCAAAAGACTGCGTTCCGTACGTGGTCACGTGGTGGGACTTTGAAGTGTGGAGCATAGTACATATATATTCTATCTGATGGAATGTATATTTATATATATACAAGTTGGCATAAATTTAGGAAAAGATTGAGCAAGTCAAAATAAGACGAAAACCTTAATAATTATTTTTCCTAATTACTTATCTTTCCAAGATACAGGGTGATAAAGTGTTACTTATTATATCAGTTTTTTTAATATAACTTCTACTATGGTATACTTGGAAAGGTAATATTTTGCGTACAGTCAATTACTACCAATACACATATTTACACATTGAACAGTGTCGTACAAAGGGGGGTTGCTCTAAGCTTATTGTCCCATCACAGAAATACAAGTGGGAAGAATGCCAAAAGCATTGAATAAAAAAACGCTGTTGCTAGTACACCGCGCGCGGTGTACTATTCTACATGATTATAATCCGTTTTTGTTCCCCGAGCGTTTAATATTTGATGGCTCAGATGGTAGGGCGGGCGCTTGGCATGCGAGAGGTCCCGGGTTCGATTCTAAGAACATTTTTTATTTTTTTATTTCATAAATTTGTTGTTTCTTTGTTAAACAGTGTTCGGTTGGGTTGGGTTGGTTAATTTGTTTTAGTTTTATCGTAACATAAAATCTTGTCGAACTTTTTTATTTCATAAATTTGTTGTTCCTTTGTTAAAGTGTTTTATTTTTATTGTAACATAAATTTGCCCATTTTAGTTGGGTTTTTTGCTCAATGGGGCTTGGGGGGGCCAATGGGGCGGGGTCGGTTGGGTTGTGTTGTTGAGTTTGGGTTGGTTTGGGTTTATGACGTAATATATAATTTGGCGGTGCAGAATAGTACACCGCACGCGGTGCACTAGCAACAGCGATAAAAAAACCTCAGGAAAGACGCTGCCGAATCTTGCTAAGCCGGGTCTACAATGGGGTAGTTAAATTTTTTCTGACCTATACTTTTTATGGTTTTATTCAAGGCGTTTTGTAATATTAAACATTTCTGTGAAATCAGAATTTCAATTGAGTTTACCGTTTTCGAGATATTTACAAAAAATATACATTTTTATGACGTCACAAACCTCGCCATGTGACCAACATTCTAAGATTTCTATTGGTTGAAAATTACCCTGTTGTCAAGTTGTCTTGTTAATGATTTCATTCGGTTATGTCAGAAAATACCCGAAGAGGTTATGTACAAATACTGTCACTGTCAGTTGAGTGAAAGATGGTCACCAAATTCATTAAGTACCTATAGGTAAGATATATAGGTAAGATATATCTTCCTTATTACGAGGTATCATATTACTGTTTGATATTTTAGAGTCCAATATATATAAAGTTATAAAGTGCTTTTTTAGTTCCACCCTTACATTCAAACTAAGATGTCCCATAAGCCAACTGAATGGCTTGTGCGGGTTAGGGGTAGGAACGGACCGACGGCTTAAAGTCCCCTCCGAAGGACTATACACAATGGACAAACACAAATAAACAACCATACCCAAGTGGGATTCGAACCCACGACCTCTCGGCTCGTACCCAGGAGCTCTGACCACTACACCACCGAGGCCTAAAAGAATATAAAGAACTAGGCATTATACTAATGAAATGCATTTACGACAAAATATGATTATAATTATAGGTATTTACTTTATTTGTTTAAAAGCTCCAATGTTCAATGTAACCAACCATTCCACAAGATTCCTCTGCTTTGGAGTCCGTTATTAATAAATCACTTATCTAATATCAATTACAAATAACATAACAATAACATTGATTTTCAATAATCTAAATTTTAAAAAAAACATAACCCGAAAAAAAAACGTCAAAAAATCAATTCTTCTTCTTCTCAACTAAAATTTTAGATAAAGTAGTTTTAAAACTAAAATATTATAACGTGGCGCCATCTATCGTAAGAATCTTAAACTAAACACCATAGAAAAAGCTGGCAACGTTGTCAATAGCCTAGTGACGTAATTAGGAGACTTTTTTTTGTAAATATCTCGAAAACGGTAAACTTAATTGAAATTCCGTTTTCACAAAGATGTTTAAAATTACAAAACGCCTTGAATAAAACCATAAAAAGTATAGGTCAGAAAAAATTTAACTACCCCATTGTCGCAGGGGTCCGATCTGCAAGTTTGCGCAAAGCACCCTGCGACGTGGCGATGGAGCAAGGTTCTTTTGCTTTTGCGATCGATTCTAAAAATACTTGGGAAAAACGTTTTATGCTGAACTAGCCAAAGCACAGATCATGGAGCCTACACAAGGGGCCCGAACTTAATAGGAAAAATTGACAAAACCTGCCCTCTAAATTGCACAAATTAAAGTCGTTTTTTCGCGCAAATACCATGAAATACTATGGTTATTAAACTTAACTTTGGTTAATAGTTAAGGCATTTTTGCGTTTAGAGTGCGTTCAAAAATCCTAACTATGACGTCACAAATACCAGACCATAAAACTATATCGCTGAGCTAGTTATTCAACGTGGTTAATAGTCTTTCTCTTTTTAATATATATTTTTCTGTTTTGATTTGTCAAAAAGTTGTTTACATTTGAAATTTAAAATATTTTAAGTAGGTACAATTGCTCTTAAACCGAATTTAAACTTTGTATTTAAATGATAAACGGGGTGTTGTCAGTGAAAATAAATGATAGGGTGCTCCATATTGTGGAATCTCCACAAGAAGTGGAGGAATTATATGCAGGTTTGTTTTATATTCTTCCTTCTTTGTATTAAACGTGTATTGAAAAAACTAGTAAAGAAAAAGAATATAATAGGTATAAGAAGAGGCAAAGAAATTTATTTACACCGGTAAAAACATAGAAATTAAATATAAATAGGTAAAAACACATTTAAAAAATTATAGGTTATGAACAAGTAAACAAATGTCAAATGTTAGAAACCTAACCATGGTTATATGAATTAACTGTGACGTCATGACTTATTTAACCGTAGTAT